ATTACAGCATTAACATTGAGCTTTTCAGACTTGATAACAGATTCTAATTTTATCCCATCTGGTTTATTGTGAGGATTTTTTTGTGCCTGGTGGTGACTTTTCCTTATTCATTTCTTCTGTACAGAATTGCTAGTAGGAGCTTAAAAGGCTTTCTTTGCTGCAAAAACCAACTGCTGGTTTCTTCTCCACCAGGACAATGTACCGGCAGTTCTCTGGATAAATTGTCTAGAAGGCAATCATTTGGAAGCTCTTGCCAAGCAAGAGAGGTTATTAGCTTTTGATCTCTTTTCTTAAATAATATCACTGTAAAGTTGCCCAAGTGTATTGGCATTAGATCTCTACTGGGTTTTCTTCCTGAGAGGAAAAACTACAGAAGGCTCCTTTTGTCATTTACTGAAATAAAAATTCTTCAAAACGAAGGCCTCAGATATTCACATGAACCTCCCACTGCAGGTACTGGGTTGGGGGGTGTAGATATAAAGGAACAAATGGTTCCAGCTGCCAAGTGGGAGTGAACAGGAAAGGAAGGAATATTAAGGAAAAAAACCCAAAAAATAACAAAAATAGCAAACAGAAAACCCACAAAAAGCTAACATAATTTCCCTTCATCAGTAATTTTTAAAAATTCTTCTGAGACTGCATTTTATCATTGCACTTGTGTTGGCAATGGCATTTCTAGCAGTGCCATAATGAGATGTTCAAAAAAGATGGAATGGTTTAGTTCAGGTTTAGTCTCCTAATGTGCCCAGACAGCCACCTAAGCAATGACAAAATATGGGAATTTCATGATTTTTTTTTAAATAAACTTTCTAAGTGTTTTTATGTCTCACTTGGGCTTCCTCTGAATGTAGAGTTTCTAGGGGCTTCCATACAGTCTTCAGCTATCTTTGTGAACTTGTAGGATCTATGGATTTTGTAGGATGTTACCCATCCATTGCATATGATAACTTAGGGATATGATGCTTAGGGAATGAGGTCTGGTCTACAGCTGCATATATATTCCTTATAATATATATTACTGCAGATAGATTTCTAGCCATTTCATTTTCAATATTAATGAATTGGCAAATAACTTTATGGCTGGATAATCAATGAATATGCATTTTCTTTAGTTGTGTTGAATTTTAGGCATACTAATAAACATACCAGGTAAAAGAAGCCATAAGTCCTTGTGAATTTATTGAAAACAGGTTCAGTATTTCTGTCTTAGCCTTACAACAGAATATATTATAGTATACATGACATATATAAGCTGGTATTTTATCAGTTTGGACGTCACAAGAGCTGGTGTTTGCTGGATCTTTAATTAAGTATAGTTAATTTTTTATGTATATTTCAGGTTTGTCTCATTGAAAGACACTCAGTGAAACTGACACCATATCTAAAACCTGTCTTCAAAATATGGGGAAGCAGATCACTGGTTCAGACTTTATCACTCAGAGCAAATTTCTTTTTCATCTAAGAAAGTCTTTTATATTTTGGATTAGACTTCTTAATTTCAGTTGTCTGGTATTGTAAAAGTACTTTAGATTGTTATTCAATGTTACGTGCTCTTTGGGAGTTTGAAATAAACTCCAGAAGTTATTGCAGTTTGTTTTTTATATTTCCTGTGGATTCTTAAATGCTCTGAGTTTCTTCCTGGTTCTCCCTAGTTGAACTGTAGCTACCAATATTGCAATATTCCTTACCTCTTGGATTGAGTCCCAGCATAACTATAATAACTCCACTGGCTTTTGTGCTTTCTCTGTACAAATCTGTTCAGAGGAGGAATTTCTTAGAGAAAAGCTTTTAATACCTTTTTTAGGTTTTTTTGACAAGGGACTATGTCTCATTGCAAATGATGTAATTTCTGCTTTTCATTATATATCTTTCTGACTATATATTTTTTTTTGATTTGTTTTATCTAGTCCTAATAATTGTTTTCAATGAGCTTTATAATGTCTAAGGTCCCTCAGATGGGTATCCAGTCCTCATCCTCCCCCTCCTCTCTCCCTGTTGGGCTTTGGTAACCTAAACATCTTCAGAAATTAGAGAATATTTTTTCCCCATATCTAACTGCCAGTATTTCAATTCTATACCATACCTGTTCTCCCAGCTCTATGTAAAATTGTTCTGTCCATGCTATCACCTAAAAAACTGCATTTAACATTATCATTCACATAACCATCTCATGCATCTTTTTGAAAAAAATTTTAGCTTTCTATCAATCATATGTTTAGTCACCCTCTTGTCATGCTTCCCAGCAATATTGTTGTTGCAATGCAATACCTTTCAGAACTGAAAACTAAATTCTTTACTTTTGCCTATATCTGTCAATGTGTGAAAGCAAGCACATTGACAGAAAGCCTGTAGTACCCCCAAATAACTGTCCTACACCTCAATCCTCAAAAGGTTCTCATTTATCATGCACATCTCAGAGCAATTTAGACAGATTTTAATTAATGTGACAATGTTTTTTTTCTGAGCGAATATTGAATTAATTACCTGCAAATAAATTTTTGTGGGGCACCATATCAAATATTTAGCAAAATCCAGAAACAAAAATTTACCGTCTTCACTTTGCTGCTAATTATCTTCCAGTCTCTCTTCACATTATCTTCCTCTTCCAAGTTTACCTCTAATATGGCATATCTTCTGCATGGTAGATAATGAGCCTGTTTCTTTAGTGGGACACATCAATTTTGAGAACAGGTGGTCAAGCATCTATTCCACTGACACAAGGAGAAAGCTTTCTTGACTTGAAAATAAATCTGTTGTATGTAAAATACAGTACCTGCCACCTCAAATTGAATGGAAAATGTTCTGTGTCACTTTAGCTGTGGCTCTAAGCCCAAATCATATCATGAGCATAGCTGTTTTGTTTAGGCTTTTCCCTTTATATTGGCAGCTGCTAAAGAAAAGTTGTTTCAGTTTCCTTTTTCTGCTGATTGAGTGGCTAGCTCTAAGTCCAGTTTCTGAGCAGCATCTGGCACTTTTTATGCAGCCATAAAATATTTAAAAATAAGGTGAACCACTTCTGGCAAGCCTGTTAGTTGAAACCCGCAAGGGAATTCCAGAATCTATAGCAAGCTTTATTATCTCTCTGCCAATGCAGCACATCTAGTAATGTGAGACTGTCTCCTGTGCTAATACCAAGCAGTCAGAGAGAAACAGGTGACCCTTGTCACAGCATCCTGCCCTGACTTTGGCCTGACAGCTACTGAGGATCTCCTGATTAAGCAAAATTCTGAGCAATTATAGCTGAGATGTGGAGGAACACCTCGTTGTGCTGTCATACTTTTTGTGATGGATCAAAGTATGACAGATTGTATATGGGCTGGAAACTAAACTTCAGAAGGAGGTAGGCCACCCTGAAAGCTGAAACGCGTCAGCTTGGTGATTTCTTGGCAGGCTGCTACTCAAAAGGTGGAAAAAGGAATTAATTTGATTTTCGCAGCATTCATTTCAATGCTATTAAAAAAGTCCAAGCCCTTTGATTGTTTGCTGTTAGAAAGATGGTTAAGGCCTACACCAGTGATGGAAGTAACACAAATAATACACCAGAAAGCAGAGAAATACAAAGCATGAGGTGCTTGTTGCAGTGGCACCAGGTGCTTAGAGTGATGAGAGACCAGGGAGAGAAGATTCTCCTCTCAGGCAAAAACTACCCAGGAAATGTGTCTCTGAAATGCTTTATGCAGCATTAGCAGGGTGTTGCCTGCTGGGAAAAGTTCTCAGATGTAAAAGCACAGCAAGGAGAAGGTTTGATTTAATAAAATGTTTATTTCTGTTTGTGAAGAGTGCAGGCCTGATGCTCAGCTGGAGTAGGCTGGCACGGTTCCACTGAACTACAGCTGCCAGCTTCAGGAAGTTATCTATGCTTTCAATACTTTTGTGCTTTTATAAGACATCTCTGTACATTTTTTTTCTGCTATTCCAGCTTTTACCTTATGGTGCTTGCAATTTTGTTTGTCTCAGAAGAAGCTGCCGTGTCCCTTTTATCTGTGATGGGAAAGTGAGGCTGGCCCTCACAAAGATGGCAATTCTTAAGGCTTAAATATAGTTATCTATCCCCTCTGTGATTCTTTCAGAGTCCCTGAACTGAGATAACTGTGGCACTGGCAGAGAAAGGAGTTTGCAGCAATCCATATATGTTAGTGCCTGTGACACTCTTGAGGGGATGAGAGGATTTCAGATTAATCAGATACATAGCTAGCCCGAAGCTGAAAGGAAAGGGTCCAGGGACAAGTAGTCTGATGTGTATCACCTTTTCTATTGTATCCTCCATGTTATAGCTTTTGAAAGCTTTGGGCATAGGTATTGCCCTTGGAAACTGCTATCTACCACTGTGCTATAGACTTTATCTGCTGCCTGATAGGAATATGGTAAATTAGGTTTTAAGCTTTGCATGTAAAATGTAATTTAAGCTCCTCAAGAATCAGTTTTGAAGTCCGCAGAGACAAGAGGGGAAAAAATCATTTTAAGTCAGTAAATTGAAGATTCTTCTTTATTTTCCTAATATGCTCTCAGGTACACTGTAAGTGTTGGTTAGGGGCTTAGGGCATGTATTCATTTCTCTCCAGTGTGTTTTCTAATACCCCTCTTTTCAGGAAAAAAAAATGCAGCAGTGAAGTCGTTATGCCACTTCACTGTAGACAAGGCAAGTAATTCTGAAGTTTATTAATCCCTCAAGTAACCTAATGGCATATTCTATGTCCTGTAAAAATGGACATTTTGAAAAAGTGTTGGTTTCCCCCCAAGAAACGCTGCTTCACTACCATGCTGGCATGAAAAAGTTCAAGAACAGGATAACTGTAAAAAAATGCATCCCCATGGGGATAGCACTCAGCAATTCATTTAGAACAGCTTTTAATTCAGAGTTAAAAATAGCAGAAAATAAATCTTTAGCAGCTCTGCCATTTCTTTGTGTATGGGTGTACACGTATCAGAGGGATCCAAAAAGAGAAGACAGCACAGGCTGCTATCTAAGGAATTATCATATCTCCTATTGAGGTGAGAAAATGAGACACAGGGTGAGTAATGAATGAGCACCCAAGTGCATTTGTGTGTGCTATTTATATGGATGCTTTGAGGGTTTTGTGTTTATGTTTAGAGGAAAAGAAAGAAAGGAGAGAAAAGAAGGAAAGGCACACAAATGTAAAGTTATGCTGTTATAGCTGTAGTTTTAGAAATGTTTTTGATGCAGATACTTGATTTTACATTCTTAAGACCATATATGAGCAAAGAAAAAAGCCTCTTTTCTAGGCTGCTGGCAGAACCAGAAGACAAAATATTATAGGACCAGAATCTACCCCAATTCAACAACTTTTTTTTCTGTCACCCTCCCTGGTACCTCTATCTCTGTCTTTCCCCATGACTGGTGCCTTCCTGCCCTCTCCTGCCTCCAGGTGACCCGGATACTTTAAAAAGAAATCACTTATAAGGAAAAAAATCAAATGCACTTCCATTCCTAATAAATGTTTCAAGTCATTAAATGTCAGCTTTGGTCTCATCCTAATACAATCTATAGCAGCCTGCCTTCTGCTTGAACTCTTCTTCTCCTCAGAAACAATTTCAGGACTGACTTTCAGTCTAGACTGAAGACACAAGTCCCAATCCAGTGGTCTTTGAGAAGACTATTTGCTGCACTTAAATAACTTTTTAATGCAAAATAATGTAGCAAAATTAAAAAGCTTTTGCCTCTGTCAACCAAAGACAAAGAATATGTGGAGATGCAAGGTGTCTGTGCATATAAAATGTACTTCCAAATGCTTTATGAAACACTTATAAATGTTTATAAATAATGTAAATATGTCTGTAAAGTTTCATTTATATTTATCTTTATTTTGAGTTATAAATGCTAAAGTTAAGAAACTCATGGCTAACATGATTTTAAACCTTCTGAGATTAGGTTCTTCATTTGCTTGTGCATGTATAACAAATGAAAAAAAAGTTTTTGCTCTCTTGCAAGACAGAGTACCACTGTCATACAGCAGTGAAATTGGCCCTTTTTGTAAGTGATTTTGAAATGGATGAAGGTAGATTACATCTGGTTTACAGGTATTAAATCTTGGCCTGTTCAAACCCTTAAAAACTTGTTAAGAAACTATTCTTGTTGAACAGTGTATGAAGGAATATACATGTTGGAAAGGATCTTCAGTTTACTGAGGAAATTTCATGGACTATAGACTCTTGATATGCTATTGTAGGATTCTCTTACAGGGTTATCTGATAAAACTGTGTCAGTAAATATTGTAGTTCACACATTTTTATGTTTGAGATTTAAAAAAGAGAAGTCTTATATGTTTTCTGCAAGTGTTTCAGACAATTCTTTAATATTTCTTTCTGAGAGCCATCTGGGAGATGCATGCAGCTTATTCAAGTCTTTGAAATTATTCACAGAAGTAATTTGTTACTTCTTTTGCAGAGGGATACAAGAAATCTTCCCCTTTCTCATTTTGATTGCTTCTTTTCCTTTATTATTATTCCCTTGTTGCACAGTTTTTTGAACTGCTACAAAATATAAAACTATTTTTATCACAAAAGAATATGCATCATGATATAAAACATATTTCAATTTATTTAGCCTTTTCTGTATAAAGTCCAATTACAATCTTTAAAGTATACCCCAGCTGCTATTATTCTTCCATAGAAATTTCAAGATACGTTCTTTGATAAAGATTAATTTAAATAATGTATCTTGGCTGTTTGCTGATTTAAATGTTCTGTAAAATAGATGCAGCATTGTCAGTGATTGCTGTGTAGTTACCACATGAATTTAGGCTCAAGCTGTCTTTTCCATTTTTAATCATTTTATCTATGCACTGAGCATTTACATTTTCATGGAACTGAACTCTCTACAGAACATCATATATATTTGCTTTTCATTCATGCTGTGTTTTTAATGAATTCAAATACTCACAGTAAACATGAAACTTGAACCTAGTCAAGTACTTAGCCAGGTGATTAATTTTCAGCACTCAAAGCTGAGATATTTTGGTGGAACAGTTCACAGGAGTATTTTTCCAGGCCCAAGTAAAACTGAATACTGTGAAACCCTGAGGCAAATGTAGGTGCCTTCTAAAGCTTGTAACATTTAAAAGCTCCCTAGACTGAGAGAGACGGAGATTGTTTCTTCTTTTTTTGAAATAGATTTTATCATATTATGTGTCCTAGGAAAGATAGGGTTTAGCATGACTCAGGCAGACACCTACAACTAAGTATCAAGAGCATAATCTTCACTTACCAAAAGACATCTTAATTATTCTGTGTTTAGGCTGACCCTAAATACAGAATTTCCATCAAGTTCATACTGTGTGGGCTAATTTATTTGCCCTCCTCCAAAGATGAATATTTCTCTCCTGTTCATAAATTTATTTTTCTTGTTCATTTGTATGAAAAGATTGTAGGTTCCCAACTGTTCTTTTGTCAAGCTGGAGTGCTTGATTTACTGTATACATTTCTTGCCAGATATTAAGAGTGCTCTGAGCAAGTTTTATTCACTGTCACTGCAATAACTAAGCCTGCCAATGTTAAATTTGGGATGTAACAGGTGTAAAATCAATCAGCCACCTTACAGAAATGTAGCAATGTCTTCCTGTTTCATTTCTCATACAAAAAAAAGGTCTGGTAGGTCAGTCCTATCCTCTTTCAGATTCATGACTGTACATTGGAAAAATTACAGATATCATAACCTGTAGTATTTGCAGCTGTCCCCTCAGCTCCTCCTCTGCCCTGAAACTGTGGCACATTTGCAGTAAAGTGAAGGAGACTTCTAGCTACAGAGTAGCTTTCAATTATTTAATAATATGACTTTATTAAATTATGTCTGTCTATTGTTTTCATATTGCTTTGTGTTTTCTCTGCCACCCTCATAAAATTCCTTTTTTCCTTGCTTGCCAGATGCATGGCTTCATCTCTAAACCACAGTAAAGATGATTCATAGCAGTCACTCTGCATTTCTCTCTCCTCTGTTTCCTGCCCAAATAACAGGAAGCACTCTGGATCAAATTGAATTTCTCAGGTTTTGTCTTCAAGTTTTTCAAGCTATTGTTCTTTATTTATTATTAGTGAAGCTCCTTCACTTATGGTTTGGGGCTTATTAAAAGCGTAAAACTATTTTTCTCAATTTCATTGAATCTGCAGAAATTCATATACATGCATAAAAAGACTTATTACTCGAACCAACTTTTCAGAACAGGTCTTAATTAAATATATAGAGGTTCTTAATCATACCTGTGCTTGAAATAGCAGGGTTTGACATAAAACTGTTTTCTTGATCCAGACTGAGTTCCAGCAGCAGCAGCAGCAGCAGTAGTAGTGTGCCTGGAATTACAGATGTAAACTGGATATGAATATGCAGCATCTATGGTGGTTTTTGCTGTTATAGCTAAGCCTTCAAACTATTTTTGTAGGGCTGCTGGTGGTTTCCAGGGGTTTTATGTACTAGTTTATTTGGGTGTTTCTTTTTCTCAAGGAATGTAAAAGAAATATGAGAAGTTCTATAACATGGATGAGAATTTCTTTATTTCTATGAAAAACTAGAATTGATGAAATATTCCAGAAACACATATTTTTAAAATATTAGGAGAAAAAGTTAAGGCAAAAAAAAGAGGAGGGGCAGGCTGGTCTGTTAATCTTTATTTTTTTTGCTTAGACTGATAGTTTGTTTCAGTGTTTCAGACTGTTAATTGCTGCTAATCATGGAAAAGAAAGTCTATTAAAGAGGAAAAAAAATCTACAGTTCTTTGCTTTGTGATGGGCTATTGACTTGTACTTGAAAACAGCTAAGGTGACAGCTGCCAGTTCATTTTATAGGTCTTTGCTTTACCATTTATTTCATACAGTTGGCTGGAAATGTTCTAGATGTTTTTACTTTGCTCATATATCATTTGAAGTTGGCCTCAATTGGTTTGGTGAGGAGTTTTCTGCCAGGAAAAGGGTTTTCTTTAACCATGTGCTAAGGGTATCTTTTTGTAAAATTACAAAACTTCTCAACCTCTCCTCTTCCTGTACCTTTTTCAGTAATAGTATGGAAGAAGTGTTTATCTTCTGCTGCTTTGGATTGTCTTGGGTTCCTGTGGAGTAGGTTCATAAAAGATGCATCCACTGCTCTTTCTGTGTTGTTTTTCCCTCTGTCACTTTCTTCCCCACACCCCAATAATGCTTTTAAACCCAGCTGTTAAAATGATCCAGAGCTTGGTCTCTGAAGTAAAAAAAACAGAAAGCTTCTCTGAGTTTGTGAGCCTCAATCAATTATAGAGCTAAATAATTTTGTTAATATAAATATTATATCCAATGAGTTGAGAATATTCTTTGAATGCTCAGGATTCAGTCTGTTAGGAAGCAGAAATAATCCCAAGTGACAGGCTGGGATTAGTCACGGCAATTACAAACAGTGCTAGGGATTAGCAAAGGTGAAGCATTTTAAAGCATTCAATTAGCTCCTGGATACATATTGATGCCTTGCATAACGTTATTCTTAAAGACAAACATACCTTTTTCCCAGAAAGTAACAAAAAGATCATGGGCCAATGCAAAATCAAAACAACCTTCTGGTTATCCAGTTCTAAAAATCAGATGGTTTAGTAATTCATGTACAGTTTTATGTACACTACCAGTACAAAACAGGCTTTTTTGCTCTCTGTGCTATTTAACATTTTCATGAAATGTGAGTGGTGATGTTTATGAAAATCACAGAAACATTCATCCAAAAAGAGGTAAATTCACTTAGAGTCTTTCAAAAATTAAAATACTTTCAGGTCACAGTGGTGCTAATAATAGCTTTACTGTAAATTATTCTGAATAATTCATAAGCAGGAGAATGACATTCTGACATTTATGTAATCTAGCCTAAAATATTAGGATCTAGCAGGAAGCCTGATAATGTGCATAATATGTTAGTAACAGGGCAGGTTTGCAGACCCTTTCCAGGGACACAGGGCTCCTCTCCAGACATTCTGCTATCAGGTGCTTGACCTCTGCTTGCAGATGCAAGGTAATTATCACCGAGGCATAGAACAAGGAGCTGATG